GTTTCATGAAATATACTAAATTAACTAAAAATCGGTCAATTAGAGTAATCTGTGCGAGTTCGCTGCGGCCGCGCACGCTGCTCATGAGGAAGAACCCCTCTGTGGTTCAAAACTAGTAGAGCTTTTCTCAGTATATTCACGTGAGTAATCCGCAATTTCCGGGTTCAATTCCCGCATGGAACAATTTGTTATGTTATCCACAGACTGTGGGGTTTATGTAATCCACAGGGCTCCGGGTTTGGGTAGCATGTGTATGTGAAATTGTATGTTTGTAAATTCAACAAATTCTAATTCATTCACAAAAATTCTAGTGTGGGGCAATGTTAAAAGAAAAACATGTAATATTGCTTCATCTTGTTACTTAACGACCACTCTGTAGATACATATTTTAATCTAATTATCAGATGATGCCACCTATATCTCCTTAGTAGGTATTGTGTTACTTGAATCACTTTAAACTGTCAAATACCAAGCGGTCACCGGTGACCGCAACCTATTGTTCTATAATTGTGTCTACAAAACCGGTACTCGACGAGTTAATTTACAATGCGCATGGTGTACAGCAAGCTTGGGGTACATGGGACTTATAACATTACTGGTAAAGTGTTTAAATTATGTACCACTGTCTTGTTACAACTTCCTTGTTCTTGTCTACTCATTGCTTGAATGAATAAATCTATGAGATTTTTTCAAAACCTTTAATGTACTATCAACTGGAGAGTCATAGAAAATTAAACCTGATATAATGTTATTGACTGCCTCATTGGCCAAGTGGTCGTAAGTGCGACTGCCGGGCAAGGGGTCTCGGGTTCGATTCCCGGGTCGGGCAAAGTATTACTGGGTTTTTCAAAAAATTCCCAGTAGTAGCACGGAGTCTGGAATTGTGCCCGGTATATGGCAATGGGCTCACCCCCTATTACATGGGACTCATAACATAAATAGTGAAAAGTGGGTGTTACATTCTACAGTGGCATAATGTACACCTCTGCTTACCCCTTCGGGGATAAAAGGCGTGATGTTATGTAATGTTAATTTCTTTCAATTAATCCTTAATTTTACTTTTGAAACGTCAATAATAGGGTAGTTTCCTAAATTTTATTTCATTGTCCGTCTGGTACATTGATTTAAAACTTTAGACACGTATTTTTTCTTTTCTCACATAATTCAATACTTTGTTTGAAATATCGTGTGACATCACAGCGTGCCACATTTTGTAGCACTTTATGACGTAACAACCTCCCACTCCTAAACTAAGCGCCATTTTATCTAAGTATTGCAACTTAATACGAGAAAATAAAAAAGTACGTGTCTAATATTTTTTCAATATTTAACTGACGGACTAATTAGATTTTTAATTTTGATAGCCTGGAAACTACCCAATTCAGTTGTCCGTCTGTCTGTCTGTCTGTCTGTCAGTGAGTTAGATTACTACCTTCTACCAGCACGTTCGCATGATTCCCTATGGGATAAAAAGTAGCCTATGTGACTACGTGACCATAGTTTTCGCTCTGTTCCTAATTGCATCCCAATCCTTTCAGCCATTTTGATGTGATTGAGTAACAAACATACACACAAACTCACAAAATTAAGTTTGATATTATGACATAACATAACATTACGCCTTTTATCCCCGAAGGGGTAGGCAGAGGTGCACATTATGCCACTGTACAATGAAACATCCACTTTTCACTATTTATGTTATGAGTTCCATGTAATAGGGGGTGAGCCTATTGCCATATACCGGGCACAATTCCAGACTCCGTGCTACTACTGAGAATTTTTGATTTGAACAAACCCAGTAAGTACTACTTTGCCCTACCTGGGAATCGAACCCGAGACCCCTTGCCCCGGCAGTGGCTCCTGCTACGAACGAGGTTTTGATATTGTGATATTGTCTTATAATATTTGTAGGAAAGTTATGTGCATTTTCAGGAAAGTAAAACTTTAATTGTAAATGTTTTAACATGATAAGGCTTATTATCAGGCAGTCGAAATTAATGTTAGACCCTTTGATTCATTAGTAGAGTGATTCTTGGCAGAATTTAGCCTAGTTTATCGCTCAAAATAACATAACTATATGCCCACATTTTCACCAGGCACGACCGATCCGCAAAACGCTGGGCATCCGCACAGACCGGCGCGTGGGCAAAGTGGGGGTGATGCTGGTGGGCTGGGGCGGAAACAACGGGTCTACTTTCACAGCCGCAGTGCTGGCCAACCGCCACCAACTCTCGTGGAACACCAAGAATGGGAAGATGGACTCGAACTGGTAAGTGGTGCTTCAGTTTGAGTGCTCAGGCCATTACGCAAACTGCTCGGATAGAATCGAACCCGAGACCACTCCCGGCAATCGCACTTGCGACCACTCTGCCAACGAGGCAGTCAATATACATACTAACATAATCCTTAACTCGCCTCTTATCATACCTGCGGGAAGACTGGACAAATGTGTACTAGTTATTCTACCGTCAAGAATAGGCACACTGCAAGATAAAAATATTAAAGAGATAAAAATATGAAGTGCGTTTTAAAAATGAAGTTATAAAATCCTTCAAAAGAGGAAAGTCGCCAGGACACGATGGCCTCAGCATTGAGCACCTGAGGCATGCCGGGGTACACCTGCCGAGGGTTCTGGCCTTGCTATTTAATCTTTGTGTCAGCCACTCCTACCTACCAGACGATCTCATGTTTACAATCGTTGTTCCTATTGTAAAAAATAAGACTGGTGACATCTCGGATGAGTCAAACTATAGGCCTATCTCGTTAGCAACGGTTATAGCAAAGGTGATGGACGGTCTGCTTGATAACCATCTAAATAGGCATATAAACCTACATGATGGCCAGTTTGGTTTTCGGGCTGGACTATCTACAGAGAGTGCTATCGTGTGTCTCAAGCAAACCGTACACTACTATACTGCACGGAGGACGCCTGTATACGCTTGTTTTCTGGATCTCTCACGGGCATTTGATATGGTCTCTTACGATCTATTGTGGGAAAAGATGCGACAAGACACTAGTTTGTGTCCTGAGGTTATATCAATATTCCAGTATTGGTATAATAACCAAAAAAATACTATTAGATGGGCTGATAGTACATCGGACGAATACAGGTTGGAGTGCGGGGTGAGGCAGGGGGGGCTGACCTCGCCTAAACTTTTTAACTTGTACATGGATCGCTTGATTGGGGAGCTGAGCAGCACAGGAGTTGGATGTCACATAGATGGCGTTTGCGTAAATAATATTAGTTATGCGGATGACATGGTGCTGCTCAGCCCATCAATCGGCGCGTTGCGAAGGCTGCTTCGTACGTGTGAAAGGTATGCGGAGGCTCATGGGCTCAGATACAACGTAAAGAAAAGCGAGGTTATGGTTTTTAAGGCATTAAAAAAGAATCTCTCAGACATACCACCTGTTTCACTCTATGGTACGCCTTTAAACCGAGTAGCTCATTTCAAGTATCTGGGCCACTGGGTTACCGATGACCTGAAGGACGATATGGACATTGCGAGAGAACGTAGGGCGTTGTGTGTCCGCTGTAATATGTTGGCTCGAAGGTTCGCTCGTTGTGCCCAAGAAGTGAAAGTAACACTATTTAGGGCATTCTGCCAAACATTTTATACATGCAGTTTGTGGGCTAAATACACGCAGGGGACATACAATGCCCTCCGGGTTCAGTACAACAACGCGTTCAGGGTGTTGATGGGGCTGCCGCGTTACTGTAGTGCGAGTGGCATGTTCGCGGAGGCGCATGTGGATGGATTCCATGCGATCATGCGTAAGCGTTGTGCATCAATGATGTCACGAGTGCGCGGTAGCCCTAGCGGCATGCTGGCCGCGTGTGCCGGACGCTGGGATTCGGTGCTGATGGCGCACTGGATAAGCCTACACGT